TTTTGCTTTCCGGTTTTGTGTGCTCAGGATATTGACAAGAGAGCGTGCCATACGAAGGGAGATGTCTAGAATTAATCAGTTGTTGGAAAACGGAGCCCCGAAACCGAAACGATTCGTTGAGAGGACTAGTGAGCAAAATATGGTCCAGTGCTGCCCAATTATCCGTATTCGGGTTATCAAGAAGAGGATCCGTGCAGGACATTTCTTTGTGTGTAACGAGATTGTGAGGGGAGAGAGATTGTTGAGAAGGGGAGTGAATAAGAGAAACGGATTTGAGAAAGTCGACCATGTATTCAGCATTGTCCCTGTCGGGATCCTGTAATGCTTGTCTCTTGCCCCAGACCGAGGAACTCTTTGAGGGAGTCATTTGTCCAAGGGGCGTATCCTGCAAAGATAGTCCATGAATCTTCATCTCCAAAGACAATGTGATTGAGTTGATCTACCGCTTGGTCTAGCAAGTAGGATTCCTGATCCGAAAAGAGAGTGTGCACTAACTGCCTGAGGCGACTACTGTCCCAACGTTTGTGAATGCTGTGGCGTTCCAGTGCTAAACTATAGGATTGGCGAATGAGTTCCCTCCAAGGAATAAGTTCCTGAACAACCAACGAGGAGTCATCCCAACCTGCTTTGCTGACGTCTGGAACTTCCGAAGGCAAAGGGAGATCAAAGCAGTGAATCATGACCTCTACGGCAGGAGTAAACGCCGCTTCGAAGAGTACCATCATACGACTGTAGCTATGCGGGTTGGCGTTGCCTATGGGCCTGTTGAGCTGTTTCCATTCTGGCCATGGTTTGGTTAAAAAGGAGGCTTTATGGGCTTCATACTCAGGATCGTTATAAGGGCGAGGAAGGTCTTCCAAACCATCTTCTGGAAAAGCAATGGCGTAAAACCAATCTTTGACTGGGTCGGCTTGCCTATCGCAGAGATCCTCATAGGTTGTTGTCCATGAGTGCTTGCGGTAGCTTGTGGGTGGTGTCACTCAAGTACTCTAAAATAGAGCGTTCATAGCCCACTACAAGGGTATGACAGTAGGGACTGGAGGCCCCAACATCATCTCCCCATAACGGCGAACAAAATACTGGCGAAGAGCTTTGCACGCGGAACACTTGCCTAGTCCGAAACACTTACCCGGCTGGGCTCCGTCGCAAGTTTCACAATCATCGTTGAGGGGGAAGGGGCATGGAAAGCTGGAAAGTTTCGTGGTGTGGGTTTTGCTACGTCCGGGAGCACTTGGGACTTAAAGAGTTCATCATAGTGCATCTGGTACTTGTGGTAACACTAGAGTTAGCACCTGCTAGAGACATGCATTCTTCGCAGGGGAAAATCAAAGAGGGGTCGTCCAAGGCACGGCCTCGTGGGCGAGTTTGCCTATCCTGGTTGCGATCATCCTCTCGTCGCCTGCGTGTGGAGTCCGTGGAGGGGTTGTAGTGCTCGAAGTCCTGTGGCTTCCACCAGCAAACGGGGCGAGCTTGGGGACCGACCTCGTCTATGGGTTCCCATTGGCGGTTGCTAGCCGGCCGTCGGGAATCGGCTCAAGTGTTGCGGGAGCCTTTGCCTGTGTTTCATGAGTGGGCTCTATCCCTATCCTGGTAGGAGCTTCGGTTTTGCCAAGAGGCGCCTTTCCCGCTACGGGGGGGTTGTCCGGTTCTTCCTCGTTGTCTTCTTCGGTGGGGCGTTCCCATCTGGATTTGTCAGAGCGTGGCGTTTGCCTTTGCCTTTACCTGAGGGGCGACCGGAACCTTTGCCTTTCCTCCGTAATCTTCCAAATTGATCCCTAAGTCTGCAACGGCCTGTTGGATTTGAGGCTGCGTTCCTAGAAAACCCTGAAGAATAAAACTAGGGTTCTTGGAGAGTTGGGAGCAAAGTTTGTCCTTCATCTCGATTGGGTATATGGTGTATGGGAAGGAGCGAATAACATCATCTCTAGATATGTTGGAGGCATCTTTGGTCTGCATAAAATGATAGCGCAATGCTGTGGTGGCGTGACGGCTCGTCGGTCCAACCTGGAAAAAATTCCTGCCTACAGTAATGTGATTCCAAAGAAGATCAAGGGAGGGCTGTACTGTATGCTCGTGGTACTGCGCCAGTACCGTACTGAGATTGTCCATGGTCACCTGAGGCGGAGGGATTTCTACACTGGGAGCCGGGAGGTCTATGTTGGTGGTGGGGGCAAAGGAGTTCGTGGTAGGGTCCAGGCGAGCCATCTTTCTGGGGTTGCGAACCGTGTTGTACGCCTTAGGAGTTCCGGGGAGTTCTGCAATGCTTGTCGGAAATTGGGGTCCATGTCTCCCCACTCAATGGGATCTAGGTCTGTGTCAGGAGCGCTTCCCTTAACAGTGCTTGCTAACCCCGTGAATCCTGACATTGCAGAGGGGGCGGGAGCTTGCGATTGGGTTTGGAGGTCCTGAACCATAACTTCAGGTTCTTTGTCTTTCTGCCTAAGGTGAATGATACCATTGGTAAATCGGACCACTTGTGAATCTGCCGTCAAATTGATGATCCTGCTGATACCCACGGAGTTTTCCTCTTCGTTGGTGAGGAGGTGCGGAGGCGGGGTTTTCACTGGCGCTCCAGGTGGAGGAGTCACTTCAGGAATGGGAGCTTTCTCTTGCGTCGATTGCGGGGCCGCTGGTGCCGTCGGCGCGGCCGACAAGTGTGCCTTGTCATCCATGGCGTCAGCGCCGCTGGGCGGCACTTCCATTGTCCGAGTGTTGTCGCCTAAAGAAAGGAATATGAAAAGCGTGAAAATCCTGGAACAATCCGGAAAACATTCGTGGCACAAGAATGTAAACCAACCCAACAAGTAGAACGAGGGGCCGCTATGTCTCACCTTGAGCCGAAGACGCGGTTTGTACTGTAAGAAACACAGCATACAGCTCAGCACGGAAGTTGTCTTGTCGTCTTGGAAGCATGCCTCTGTCTAGAATTGCGTTATCCATCAAGCAGGGGTTCGCAAGGACAACGGCCCAGGTACTAACCGGCACAAATGCGTGAGGTTGGGTTGAACCATCGGTAGCAAGAGGCACACCATCATCCAAGCAGTCTTGGACAACAGGATGCTCCGAGGTTTCAAACATTTTACGCGCATCAGTTCCTGCAGGAGCCTCTAGCCACAAAACTCGCAACAGAATCTCGTCGTCAATGGTCTGTAATAGACGGGGCGGAAAATGCGCACGAGTTTTTGCGCACTTGCGGCAAAACCGTAGGCGCTGTGCATACCCATCTTCACAACCACAGTGCTTGCATAAAGCCTCCTCACTAGAAAGAAAGTGCCGCTTCCGACCAGGCGACAAAGCAGCACCTACAATAAAACTCCCAACAGTCGAACGGTTGATGACATAAATCCGGCATTACCTTAATGACGCTAGACTATAGGAATTATGGTACATTCCTTATTCTGGGTAACGCAGGATTTATATCATCAACCGAATGACTGCATTTAGCAACCTTCCTAAGGGAAAGGGACGCCGGCAGGGAAACCATGGGGGCCCTGCTAGACCACGGCTGACCCGGCAACTTCGTTGCGATCACTTGCCACCAGGCGTCACAAACCGATGCTTTCAAATCTTTTTTGGAAGATAAACACAAATGGATACTTTCACCAGAGGTGCCCAAACACAACAACCCAGGCTGAGGAGCCCAACCTAAACAACGAAGCTGCGCCAACCAGTACGTGTACGGACCTGTCGCAGGCGAACTCGCTGATATCACTATATCCCACTGTCTACAGGTGGACTCCGAGTCTTGCGCACAAACCCTACGCAAGGTATTAATTCGACGGAGCAGGACAAGAATGAATGGTTCATACTGGACTTCAGGGCCAAGCAGGGGAGTAAGGAAATGGTTTCTATGACTCGTTGGACCAAAGGTTGCCCCCGAGTACTTGCCACGCAGTAAGCTGCAAGTCGACAGGGACGTGTTCGCAAACTCACATCCCAAATGCACTGCCGAGTGCACAACGCGCACAAGTACGCAAGGTGCACGTTGCCACTTCATCAACCTTGGTTGCACAGCCTCCACACGGGGTAGCAGACTCGCTGCCATAACCTGCTTACCTACATTAAAGTGCACCCCAACCTTAAACAAACCTGCAAAGGAGAATCTTGAACCAACATGTAGCGAAGCAGTTGCCTGCCTTCAGGGCAACTCGAGCAAACCTTTGTCTTCTCAGATTTAAAAAGCAACTGCATGGTTCGGTGGCCGGGCTCACTTCGTGCAAGAACGGCGCAAGCTGAGAACTGTCCTACATCTGGGCGCTCCAATTGTCGACGCAGCTGACTAAACTAACCCGTAAATCAGAAATCCTAGTGGTCAAAGCCCAAGTAACCACAATCATCCACGACACCGCCAAGGGGCATCCTTAGGCATTCCATCCGTACTTTGGACAGGCCCCCACAAGCCATAGGCAAGTTTAAAATACCTTCCAAGTTTACTGATCAAAATACAGTATGCTTCTGCTTGGGGCGGTGGCCAACCAGTTCGTACAGCCATCTGCATGACAAGATCACGCAGCAATCGGTTATATTATATGCCTGAGATAAATCAAGTGAAACACCGTAGACAGTTCGGTTGGAAGCCATCGCTTCTTCGATTCGCGCAGCAAGATTCCGCGCAGCATCAGTGGACGACCGTCCGGGGATACTGCCACACAGAGTTTCTGGCAAATGAGGCAACCAATGCTGCAAAAATTACTCGGAAGTTTCTTTGCCAAACAGCTGGTACAAGCTTGAGAGAATTGTGATAGGTTTGCCATCTTCAGGAACTTGAGGCTGCTCTACTTTGGCAAGCGAAGCAACAGCAGCCTCACACATTTCATCCGGCCACTCCCCTGTCAGACTGGAATTGAAAAGCAGGGCGCATCTTCTTCATACACACATTGCAGCTCAAAGTTACTAAACACATCCAAACCCTTAGCGTTTCCCACCTTCAAGCGCCGCACAGCTTCAAGCACGTCTGCTGTGGTGACTTTCGGGTCGAAATCATGTAACTGCGGCAAGGCATGGACCAAGTACTGGGCTTGAGATTGCACGACCGGTCGTGAGTGGTTCCAATATGAAGACCAGAATTGTGAAAACTGGTCAAACAACCATGCAGGATCTGTGCACCACGCCTTTTGTTTAACAGTTTTCCTTTACATCTCCATTTTCATCTTCAGTAATAGGGATCTTCAGTTAGCTATCGGGTTTCTTTATGGCAACTTGAAGGTACCATAATAGAGACCTATAGTATCTAGTGCTAACTCAGTTTCCTCATTATACGAACTTGAATATATGGTTCTATAGTACATGGTAGCGGTTTCTTTGTTATGGGAACTTAATCTAAATTCCTTAGATGCTAAACCCCAAACACTCCTCACCTGAGCCCAGGACCGACCCGAACGCTTCCCAATGCGACTTCTCCGTCTTGCGCTGTGGGGACCTCAGCGCTTGGGAGGAGATGCAACCCTCAACCGTGAACCAAAATATAGCGGCCTCAATAATTAGAACAGGTTTTGGGGCCCAGTACACTATAACTACAAAACAACCCTCCCAAAATAGTATCTATAGGTATTCATTAAGGCCCCTATAGTAAAACATGGAACATCTTGAATATAGGGTATAGCTTAAACGCTAAACCCGAAGCCCTGAAAATCGAGTACAGACGACGTAGCAGCTAAGGCAGAGACCGGGCTGAGTGCCCTCAGGGACCTTTGGGGAGCTGCTCCGAAGGGAGAGACGAGGTGGCACTTTCGGGCACTTTTTTTAGGGTTTGGGGGTTTAGGGTTTTCGGGTTGAGGGTCCAAGGTGCAGAGTATAGGGGTTTAGGGTTTAGGGTGAGGGTTTAGGGTTCAGGGCTTAGAGTTTAGGGTTTTCTTTCATGGTTCCTCTAGAGGTGTACTTCCCTGTATGGTTCCTGTAAAGGTGCCTATTCATAGATAGTTTTTAGGTGCCCACAACCACAACCCAGGAGAGGGGCAGGCGTGTAACAACTGCGAGCCGGGCTACTACTCCCGAGGCTCGAGGGTTACTACGCGGTGTATTATAAGGGTTACTGTACATTGTAAAGGGTTACTATAAGGTTATTACAAGGGTTACTATAAGGGTTACTATAAGGGTCACTATGCGGGTTGCTATAACACTTACACTTACGGTTATTACAAGGGCTACCATGGAAGTTGCTAAAAGGGCCGCAAAAAAGGCTATACGGGTTGTGGCTGCCCCCCAGGCTCAACGTGTGAACGTTGTCGTGAGGGGGATGCTCTTCCGGTCATCTTGCTCTTGATTATGCTGCTTGCCCTCCTCGCCTTCGTGAGTAACTCCAATTGGGATCCAAGTCAAGTGAGTGCCTTGCTGCATCAAAGGCTGGGGTTTTATATAGGGTTCAGGGTTTAGGGGCTTACATCAGAGACAAACTCCGCCAAAAAATAGGTTTCGGTGTCGGGGGTTCCGGGCTGCTGTTCTTGCGGCCCGAACATACGATGAAACCCAAATCATTGAAACCTCTGATATGCACGTGACATGACTGCGACATGACTCCCAGTGTCTCGCAAAATTGTGTCGAATTGGTTTCGCAGATTTATTGCAATGTTGTTCTGCAGCATAACCCAATTCGAAAGTGGCAGTAGTTTTGGGTGGTCTTCTGCGCAAGCCCGGGATCATCTACGTAGTTCCTCGAGTAGGGTCACGTGACGAAGATTATCGAGGATATATAACCATCTGGTGTTGTTTGGATAGAGATTGCAGCGTCATTATCGTGATGTTGGTTTGGGGTTTGGAGTTCGCGCTTTACAAAGTCTGCCGATATTGCAGTAATATGTGGCTCTCCTCAGTGATGGCTCCAACAACCGTAAACCAGAAAAAAAACTACACCCTAAACTCCTAAACTCTGAACCAGAAACCCTACAATCAGAAAATCATAAAGCGTTAAGAACTCTTGCAAAAGCTCTGCAACCCAGCAAGACCTTTTTGAATGACAAAATGCTTCTACAGCTCGACAGTTCCAAACCCTACCAACACCCTAAACCCTTAAACCCGAAAACCCCGCACCCTTAACCCCTTCACCCCATAAGCCCCACACCCTAAACCCCTTAAGCCACTGCACCCCAAAGTTAGCCCCTTGACCCCTTAGGCCCTGAACCCCTGAAGCCCCAAACCCTTGACCCGTAACCCTCAACCCAAAACCCTAAACCATAAAGCCCTAACCCCTTAACCCCTTAAGCCCTACACCCCCCTTAAAAGCCTAAACCCTTAAATCCTGAACTGAAGGTCTGAATACCGTAACGGCGGCCTCACTGACCAGCCAGCTGCTCATGGCCATCCAATCCCTGGGTTCGATCCGAGACTAGGTACGGATTTGAGGGTTTGCGACTAGGGTTCAGTGTTAGGGTTTAAGGGCTTTTAAAAGTGACGAGAACCGATTCTAATTCCTGGAGAGCAATTGCTAATCTTACGGTATAGGGTTTTGAGTTCAGCCTAGCATGCTTTACTTTTCAATAGGGCTTAGGGTTTAGGGTCTGGTTGTCAGTTTCCTTACTGTTTATTTGGAGAACGACTATACCCTGAACCGGGGGGGATGTTGATATCGACACCCAGGCGAGCTGTCCATCAACTGGCAGGAGCCGGTGAGTTTCGAAGTGGTTATGGTTGGGGGTTTGGAGTTAAGTGGGTTTGTCGAAGTTGATTCAATGTGAGGTTTATGGTTAAGCGGAATTCAGATTTCTCTGAGGTTGTGGGTTTGAAGGGTGTTGGCGAATGATAGGGATGCATGAGAAACAAAGATCTTCCTTCAGGGTAAACCTGTTGTAAGGCATCACGGGGCAGGAGCCAGTGGCGACTCTTATCAACCTCACGAAGCTGGTGATGTTCGACTTCCATTTCATCCGCACTTCTTGCTTCTTCGGCACCGACAATCCCGTACTCTATTTTGTCGGCCGATTGCTTACATGCCCGGTGGCTTGTGCTCTGCTACTGTGTGCTTGGGTCCTGCAGAAGATGCTCGGACGTCACAAGCCATTCAACACGGTGTTGAATCAGTGTGGAGTGATGATCTTTGCCTTCTTCCTGTCCATCACCCGCGCGACCCTGATTCCATTTCAGTGTGTCGAGAACCCAAATGGAACTAGCTCAATGATGCTGCACCCGGGCATCATTTGCTGCTGGGTTCTTGTTCAGGCAGTTTATTTCAACCACTATAACCAGACAAGCATGTATTATGTATATACACACGTATATATGTATGCATCATATATCATCCGTGCATACATATACATCATGAATGTGTGTCTCTAGTATGGCAAGTCAAACTACGTTCCTCCAAAAACCTAGGTTTTCATGTTATAGAGTCATCATGAGACTTTTAGGCTATGCCGTAAACGCACCTGAACCTTGAGCAACAGCCCAGGCTACCAATCGGAGGAGCATGCCCTCTTTGCTGCACTTTCTGTGGTAGGAGCCCTGCTTGCAAGACAACATCCTAATCCAAACGAACAAAAAGCTAAACCCCTAAACCCTAAAACTAAGTACACTTCCCGATTTGTGAGGTTTAGGTTTCGGTTTGGAGTTTAGGGGTTTCGAGTCCGAGTTTCCGGTTTAAGCTTGGAGTGGAGGGAGTGTGCGGGTTTGGGGTTCGGTTTTGAGTTGACAGTTCGACCCTAAGCCCTAAACCCTAATCCGTCTGATATAGGGGCCTAAACAATACTATTGTGAGGGTTCCTTATTATAAGCATAGTACAATGGGCCCCAAAACCTTATTTTACTAGTACGGCCCCAATATTTAGGGTCTTGGGTTTCCAGTCAACTTAAGGTTTAGGATTAAGGTTTGAAAGTGTAGGTTGGGGTTAGGGGTTTAGGATTTGGGTTTACGGTTCAAGGTTTGAGGCTTAGGGTGCAATCCCGAATCTTTCCACATTGTTGTGAGGAGTTGTGACTCAGCCCTTGGCTATCCTGGTGTTGGCCACCTACGTCATCTTCACGTATCCATCGCGTGTAGCCGGTGGCAAGGGGCTTCGCTTCTCCACGCGATACCGTTTCCTTCTTCACAGGTTCAAGCCTTCGCCCCTTTGTCATAGGTGGATAGAATACTTATGAGTACTTGATTAAACCCAATAAGGAATGCAAAATTAGATTTTAAATACTATGCCAACCATGAGCTAGGTCCTACTACTACGGCTTGGTCCTCCTCTACCGCAATGCTATCATCGCTCTTCTGCCTACGGTTCTGGTCGGCGTGCCGGAAGTTCAAGTACCGTTAATGGGCATCATGTTGCTGGCTGTCCAGAACCTGTCCTTGCAACTGGCGCCCCAGTACGGTTGATGATAGATATCCTGCATTACCTTGATGGCCCCAGACTATGGAAATTATGGTATGTTCCTTGTATGGGTAATGCAGGATTTGTATCATCAACCGTAGTACCCTTTTGCTCTTGTTCAAGCGGGTTCACCTTGTCAAAACTGCGCAGCCCTTACCATGAAGAAGATATGGGGGAACCTAGGCAAACTGCGCCATGGCGAACACAAATGGCCAATCGCGTCGACATGCTGTTGACGGACCTTCTTCTCGTTGCTTGGCTGGTCTTGAGGCTGCTTCCGTTTTAGTATTAAGCCGGCACTGTTTTTGCAGTGGCTCCAAATCCCTGTCATTAAGCAACGTAGACCTTCAACAATACAGAGATCTTTAACATGGGGGTTTCTGGGAGGTCCAGAACCCTTATAACACTCTTTTTCATCCCCAAGCTTTAAACGCCTTACACCCTGCACGGCTCTACAAAACCCTAAGCCCTAAACCGAAACCTACACCCTAAGCCTCAGGTCACTCTGCTCAGTGCCGGTCCTCTGCTGCTACTGGACGAGGCTTCGTCCACGGCCGTGCTCGGTTGGCTTCTTTGTGCAGCTTTGTCCCACCGCAGTATCCTTTTACCACTCTTTTTTTGGGGCTTCTTTATTCACAGGGACAACCCGATCAAAATGGGTGTAACCCTAAACTTATCATACCAGGGGAAACCCCAGGTGCCCATCCTGTCGATCTTGCTTGTGGTTCTTCTTGGCTTCCTGAGACTCGCGGTGAAGGCTCCATGGTTGCCATTGAATCGCTGCCTAAGCCTCAAAAACCCGATCCGCAAAGTATAGCTGTGGGGGCGGGTGCACGCTTGGGGGGCAGTGGGATAGTAGTGTTTCGGGTTTAGGGTTGACCGTGTTGTTTAACATTTCAGCAACATCCAAGGCCATCAGGCAGAAGAGGGAGAAGCTCTACGACATCTTCCTATGTCAGCATCTTAATTGCTCCGTTCTTGGTCGGACACAGGGAAAACACAAAGGTAACCGTAAGACCTCAACATAGATTCATGGCGGCTCCTTTCTTACGTCTTTTCAAATCATTAAAAAAACTTGCAGGAAACCCCGCCAAAAACCAGATAAATCACTGGTAACATCCAGAAAGAGCACTACTTAAAGGCTCATTGGGACTGAGTAAGTAGGTTATCATTGGGATTATAAGTCCCCTAAGTGGGGTTATCCTTCTGATCACCTACTTATACCCTTACTTACTAAGTCACTAAGTCCCGTGAGCGTTTAAGTAAGGTCACCACAAGGCAGGGGGTGGGAGCTTGAGCCGCTTGATGAAGCTCGTGATTCTGCAGCACTCTTCCGCCCGGGCGGCTTGACTTTTCAGTCCTACCCTTCGACCTGAGGTTTAGGGGACGCGGTTTGGGTTTTACGGTTTAGGGTTTGGGGTTAAAGGTTCTCCCTTCTAAAGAGATGAATGGGACAACTTTATCCTTGTTGTGACGGCGCTGCTGTATGGCCTACAGTAGGTGTTCTTGGACAGCGACCAGCTTCAGAACCTCGACTTGTTGTTTGACATCATCCGGACATCGACAAAGAACGTGGTCGTGGTGCTCACCGGAGAGCTGCTGTCTAGAAGTTGCTGGGCAATTTGATCTTCAAGTCTAGTATAGTCTCTCCTTATGAACAGTTTAAGAAGGAACAAAAAGCGCGGAACTAGCCCTACAGGCTGGTGTGCGGGAGAGATCGTAACCGCCTGGAAGAATGACATTCACACGGTGCCCTTGCTCTGCGAAGGTTTCGAAAGGCTGTCTGACGAGGCATACGGGTACCCCAAACCCTAAACCCATAATTGTGGTCATGTAAGGGAATCCCAATCCCAACAACTTAACGCTCTCAACATACTAGAAGAGTTATTCCCCTATGCGGCCCGCCTGGAGGGTTCCTAAGCCTCAAATCTTAAAGCCGAAAGCCTAACAAAATCTCAAACCCACGCACGTCTTTCTTGAAAGCACACGTTATTGTGTTTGCTTGGTTGCGAGGCACAGAAGCAGATCCCTTCACTTTGGACGCCTCACCAAGTTGTACCCAGGCGCTTGTTAAGGAGTCTTGTTCAAGTCACAAAAAGAAGGAACAGGGTGTAGGGTTTGGGTTTAAGGGGAACATGGTGCAGGTTTGGGGGTTAGTCAGTTTATCTGCCTCCTTTTATCGCCTATAGGAGCCTCATAGCACCCACAGAAAAGCCCTTGTGTGTGCCTACATTGTTAGCACAATCGAGGTTCCTTAACAAGAGCCCAGGCACAATTGGCAAGCTACGGGATCCAGCTTGATGATGTGAACTTGGCACCCTCGGTGGCACAGTGGGAGATTTTTTGATGCAAATTGGGTCATAGTCTTTTGAAGAGGTGTCTCTGCACAGATATTGTGTCGGGGCCCTTGCGCGGGCAACCAGACAACGCCTTAACGCCCCACAACCACAAACCCTAAACCCTAAACCCTAAACCCTAAACCCTACAGCAGGCGTTAAAGCCCTGAAGCCTCAAAACCAAGAATAGGCCTAGAACCGAGGCTTGTGCACCCTGAGGCCCTAAAGACTTGAAGCCCAAGAGGTAGGATCCTTTAGGAACCCTTGAAAGAAGCTTTTTTTATCCTCATAGAATCCTACAAAGCACTCTTTAGGAATTTACAAGGCAAAAACCCTGAACCGTAAACCCCGAAAGCTCTAAGCCCTGAACCCTACAACCGAGGCTTATTCATGGCTGCAGCATGAGCTAACTCCTCTCCAAATGGCCCGCTTTGGTCCAGCGCGGATCTCAGAAGTGTTTGAAGGCTTGGGTTTAGGGCTTGGGCTTTTTAGGGGCTCTTTCAGCGTTTGATAGACGCTTATAGGGGTTTGTGACATTTATAAACAGGCTTTATATGGTTTCAGTGGATTCGAAAACTAGGGGTCGTTGCAATCAAGATCCTGCTATGCAGGGTTGCATGTTGGGGTCGCTTATTTTCCTAAGTGATGAATGTTTTTTATGATGTGTCTTCGTCATAACTGTTGTCGTACTTGTGACATCTATTTTGCTGCGTGGCAGACTTCTGAAAGGCTCATGGCTCCTAAACCCTAAGCTTTAGCCCTAAACGCCGAGCACCCGTTTGTAGCTGAATTGGATCATGTCCGGTGCCAGTCGCTCACATAGAACGGCATGCTCACAGCTAGAACTTCCCAGGTTTGTGGCAGGGAAAAGGTGGTCGTGGAGCTTATGAACGTCTGTGGATTGTCGTCTCGTCGAACGACGAGCAAGACGGCCGGACATGTCTCACGACCCCGGATTCTCATTTTGAGCTCCTATATGGAGGCAGAGTATTTGTCCGCTTGCGAGGTCTTTCAAATTCTTCTACAAGCACACCTCCATGTCGAGTGCGAGGTTGTGCACGATTTTCAGCAGATTGCCACATGCAAGCCTTTTGCCTACTACCTCATTGCCTTGCTTTTCCGTGGCATCCTCCGGGACGAAGATTTCATCAAGCTTCTCCTGCATCTGGGCAGCTGCTAAGAAACTGGACAACGTACCGAAATATGAAGCGATCGTAAAACGCGGATTTCTTATACTGATTACGTCGTTGAGGTTCTGAGACCACTGACGAACCCTTCTAGAACATCAGCTCTTATGGAAGCCTCGGGTTTTGCCGGCTGCATTGAAGAGCGTCCTAAACCCCATGCGCTCACCTCTTAACCCGAAACCCAAGCCCTATTCAAGTCGCTCAACCCTTAGCCCTGAACCCCAAGTGCTAAACCCTAAACCCTAACCAAGAAAGCTACACAGAGCACCGGCAGAAGCGGAAAGCGTTCGAAACAGCTGTAAACGAATCCGATCAGAATCCATACAAAACCAACCCTAAACGCGAATCCTTAACCCCGATGAAACCAACCCAGGTATGCTACTCAGACTTGTACCTCGTCAAAACGGGCCTTGGAATTGGTGCCAGTGGCTACCCGGATCTCCGCAGGAAGTATTTTCTCGTATAAGGAGCCTTTTTTTCTCGCAACTCTTAAATTTTAAGTTGGGTTGCGTGAGAGACCTATCGGATTTTGGAAGGGTTTCATAAGGGTCGTCAGAGACTACGATAGCTCCGTACTTTATCGTGGGCTAAACCCGAACCCTGAACCTCTAACCTAGGCCCTAAACCCTTGCCTACATTTAAATTCATTAACCTAAACCCCGGGCCCAGGGATTCCTAAAGCCCACAAGAAAGCAATGCACCCTAAATGACAGAGCTGGTGTGGTTAGGGGTTTAGGGTTTCTACTTAAAGTCTCGTCCTGAGTGGAGCGGTTGCGGAGTCTCTCGGAACTCTGGCTTAAACCCGGGCCCTAAACCCTCAAAGCTAAACCCTCAACCCAAAGCCTGTGCAACAAAGAAACCTAAACCCTATGACTGCCATTAGGTTGCCGACTCCAACTTCGAAGTTCCAAACGTCGACGCGAGGTGGCACGCTGGGAGCCCGCTTGGGCTTCAGGTTTTCAAGGTTTTCGAGCATAGTTTTGTGGGTTTTCGGGGCCTGGAGTTTACGATTTTATGGTTTGGGGGCTTTAGGTCGAAGGTGGTCTTGCTTTTAGGTGGCTCCTGGGACTCCTGGGAGATTTGCATTCATGTGTGGTCACATCTTGAAGGCAGTGCAACCCTTACAAAACCGTATCGCATTGCAACCCCTGTATAACCGTATCAGATTCTTCAAGCCCCATATGCAACTATCAAGAACTGTATTAAAACCCACGTCCCAGCGTATAACATCCTGTAAGACCCAAAGGCCTAAACCCTAAACTCAGGATAGTATGAAGAAGAAGTTCGGCTGCCGTGCTCCTCCTGGTGGGCCGGCACACCAGGATCAGGCTCCTTCTTGCGAATGAAGTACATTTTGTTTGGGAATCTACGGCTTAGGGTGGAGGGTTTAGGCTTTGGAGTTTAGTGTTCAGAGTTGTTGATTTAGGGTTTAGGGTTAGGATTCAGGGATTAAGGTTCAGGGTTTCGGTACCAAATTCATACTCTACTATACACCAGAACAAAATGCTAGAGAGCTTTCCAAAGCCCTCTACTCTAGGGGTTTTCTCCTTTGCCGTAAAGCCAATAGGTCCTGTTGAAGTCATTTAGGTTTTGGGGGCTTGGAACTAGGGATTCGGGATATAGAGCTTGATGGTCTTGGGGTCCAGGGCTTACATTTTTTCGGATTTGGGAGGGTGTTGACAAGCTGGCGAAAGCAGGAGGTTTTTTTCTCATAAGACAGCCTCGTCAAAAGGAGAACTTATAAGATTGTCTTTTATTTGGGGATAGGAATGGTAGCAATGAGTGGACTGGAAACCATCGGCAAAACAACTTTTCAATATCTGTAAGCTGGGTGGTCGGGCACGTTTGCACCCGAGATAGCAACAATGAATATCTAGAACACGAGAGCAATAACGATACTTTCATGATAGTACGAACAGAAAGCTACACTTCTAGTAACGATGATAGTCTTCGAAATTGTTGATCGTCGTAGCAGCACTGTAGCACTGAATAGAGCTCCTTGCAGAACCCTTGTGAGACCTTCCTAACGCTCAACGCTTTGCGACGGACCGTTGCGACCATGTTGTAGAGCACACAGGATCCTTGATTGGGGTCGTCTGAGGGTTGGATATGGGCTCCTTTATCTAGACCAAAACAAGAAAAACGAATCCTCTATGCAGCCCTTTGGGGACCGGCATGGGGACCTGAGGATTCTCAGCCCTCTGGAAACCCTAAGCCCCCTCGCCTGACCAATTTTAGCAGGACCCCTAATATAGTTTAAGGAATATTCCTGAATTGAGGGGTATTGGGCTCTCTAGGTTCTTGCTCACTGCATCCCGGCCCAGGTTTTTCGAAACTTGTGCACAGTGCTGGCCTTGCCATTCACACCTCTAGCATCAGAAGGTCTGCAAGAGAGGCAGGTGGCGGAGATCGCATCGCGAATCCACCGATATCAGGACGCTTGGCTCTGTCCAGGCTTTCTACAATGATATAGTGTACTATGTGACGGTGTAATATACTGCAATATACTATGTTATATATATATATATATATATATATATATATATATATATATATCGTAAGATAGTACAGGTTTGCTAGACTTCCGGTTGCAAGATTCAGAGTAGTTGGGTGTTCGCTGCGGAGGGGTTCCGTCATCGAATCTGCAGCCCTAAATCTATTCGACCTCTTGATATCTCAGCCGTAAACCCTATAACCTCAACACTAAACCCTAAATCCCCTCGACAAAGGATCCTCTCTGAGGGCTCGAGGTATGTCGGAACTTCCGAAACCTCCCAGACCCCAGTAGGGTTACAAACGTAGGGACCCCATACTACTACAGGGTTGATTAAAATTGCAGTTCCGAGGTTGCTTTACTTAACTTATCCCCACAAAGTGCCGTCCCTCCGTCATTCTGGTGCTTTGTACCCCAAACCGTGTTCTGATGATTAAGGTTTAGGGGTTTAGGGTTGTGAAGGGTTTAGGGTCCCTATATCCCAGAACCCTTAGAGAATCGCTTGCAGTGGGCCGCCGAGGATCCAGTCACGGCTGCTCCAAAAGACGAGAACGAAGATCAGCTCCTGCGTCGAGGTCCTAAACCCTGAACCCAAACCCCAAGCACTAAACCCTGCACCCTATGGGCTGCGACGGATACAGACTAGTGCAGTTGCAAAAAGGCCCTCAAAAAAAAGAAACCCTGCACCCTAAACGCTAAACCCTGCGTCGAGGCAGTTTCCAGCCAGCCCTTGAGAATCTCCATGCACAGGCCCGGCTTTAACCGCGGGATTCGGGTTCAGGGTAACCGCGATGTGTACTTGTGATGGAGCATTCCTGAATGAACCCTGCACCAACCCTAAACCCTAAACCCTAAACCCGAACCCTAAACCCTAAACCCTACACCCTAAACCCTAAACCCTAAACCCTAAACCCTAAACCCGAACCCTAAACCCTAAACCCTACACCCTAAACCCTAAACCCTGAACCCTGGGTTTCCATCCTGAACTCGCAATCCCCAGCAACCCCATCATGAATCCTACGGCCTGATCTAGAGATTGCAATGATAGCCATAACGTCACTGTACAGTCTGCACAGAAGTGTAGTTGTACTATATATATATATATCCCAAAGCCCTACCTCTATGTATCCATCCCGGAAGTGCTTCTTAAGTCCAAGTACAGCGCTTTGCAGTCGTTTCTAAAGCCCTGCAAGCGCTAAACCCTGCATCCTGATAACCTGAAGATGCCTTTGTGGACCCGAATTTCTACACCGAGACCCCAAGCCCTAAACCCGAAACCCTAAAGGAATCATTGGTGGCTGATGTCACGGACGATCGCAGCCAGACTTCGGATGATGAGAGGTCACTGGGTCTTTCAGTATCCAAGCTCTCCAAGATCCCCTGAGTTTTCCGGTAGTTGTCAAGGTTTAGGGTTCAGGGTTTAGGGTTTAAGTTGTATGGTTTGAAGTGAGTTAAGGTGTATTGCTTAGTTTAGAGGTTTTGGAGTCTCTGGGCAATGGCCTTTCGCTCCCAGAAGCGGTTCTACCCGTTTTTTTAAACAAGTTCCCCACCCTAAACCCTAAACCCTGCGCAGATATTCGGGGGTTCGAGTCGTTGTTTTTTTTGGGATCCGGCTTCTACGCTTTTCCCAAAGGGGAAAAGGAGGGACCCTTAATGGGGACCCCTACCCGACAATGGGGCTATATAATGGGTATATAATAGCTATATTAAGGGTATATACCTAGGGGTCCTTTAAAGGGTCCCTCCTTTTACCCTTGAATTTTACCTTTTGCGTTTCGGAGGCTTTCATTGGAATTACTAAGCCTGAGTTGCAGGAACGAAAACCCTAAATCCGAAACCCTCAAAGGGTACGCTTGCAAAGCAGAGGGCTGCTGGGAAACCAAGGTCTACTGGCACACCACGGTCCGAAGAAGCGAACAACATGGTGGAATTTGTTTTCTAACGCAATTTGCGATCACGATGGGTACATGCCATGGTCCTTTTAAACCAAACGCTGTCCACAGTGAGGCGTAAGGTGGGAGCTTTCACAAGATTCCCCCTAACAGTTTTTGTGCGTTTGAAACGTTCTTCGGACTTCTTCGCGCGGTGATCGGATTGATCGCAGCGCTGGGGCAGGAAAAAGGCCTCAAGTGCATCACACCGACTCCCCTACCTCTGAGATATAACATGCGGAGTAGTGCACGCCGCAGATTAGATTTAAGGATCCCTGTTTACGTCAAGGTGTAATGTAGGAACCTGATTAAGAAGCCCTGGTTTTGGGGTTTAGGGGTTAATACACGGGGGCTTTCTGATTCTGACAGCGAGGATCTGGGTTCTTTGGGATATTGTAAAGTCAAATCAGAAGGGATGTCCGGCCTCTGTATATTAATCTGTAACATTGCAACAGCAGCAGGGTCTCCAATATATATATATATATATATATATATATATTATACATATATAGAATTAAATGGGTCCTCCATACTAACCCTAAACCATAAGCCCTAAAGCCCAGTTAGCATGATACAGAATCCGAAGCCATAAACCCTACCTAGGCCCTCAGTGGCTGTCTGAAGTTCGAAGGTCTGAGGCGAAAAGCATAGGATCCGGCGATTGGCTTCAAGGTTTAGGGCTTAAAGGGAACTCCAGAAAGTTGGAATATGGATTAATGGTAGGATCCCCTATAATTTACCTTAAAGGGGTTACGATAATGATATTCCAACTTTCTGGCTTCTACTGTAGGGCTTCGGGTTTAGTACGACCACTCACTACGAATGTGAGGAACCCCACACTTAGCGCTCCATTCAAAACCTCAAACCCTGCAGCCTAAGCCGCACACCTTAAATCCTAAACTCCAAGCCCCTAACCCCAAAACCCTAAACCCAAACCCTACACCCCTCGGTTATTATCTTGAAAACCCTTTGCTGCCGAACTTCCAGTTTCAGGAGTATCTACGTAGGGCTTTCTTACACAACAGAAGGACCTTATTCAGGAGTCCTCATTAGAAGCATCCCGTTAGTTAAGGCAGTTTAAGAGTCCATGCAATGAAGATCCGATTGGTGCAGGTTTTATGTTCACTTCCTTGTTCTCAGCGTTTCAATCAGGGTGATCGGTAGCTTTCCAACCACATGACTCGGAAGCGGGCTCGCTTGTGTTTTCGGTTTTGGATTTTAAGGTTTACTTGTGCCCAAGTAGAAGGAGCAGGTCACGGATTCGCACGACCACTTCGCTGCAGTACAGCACGTTCACAGAAAGCTGGAAGCATTACTAGGGCTTAGGGAAGGGATCTACCGTTATAGTACCCTCATAGAAACCCTTACAGATCTCATTAAGGAGCCGTAAAGCTAATCGGGTGCAGCCTTGTTTGCAGCAGGGAAGACAGCTTCGAGTCAGATGTCAATCCCGATTGACCGCGAGACCCGAGTATATGTTGAATCATGCTATGGTCTCCTCTACAAGATTTATTGAATTTGCTTATTCTACAGTAGAAGCCAAAAAGTTGGAAACCCGATAGCCTCAATCCCTAAGAGTAGAGTATAGGGGATCCCAGCACTATTTGTCCTTGCCTAGGTTTCCAACTTTTTGGAGTTTGCTGTAGGTGTTTCCCAGTCTTGGGTGGCTGAGATTCTTCGCCACCTGTGCGGTATACCTGTCATGCACATGTTGCAGTTTTTGTGGAAGCAGTGCCATCATATACCATGTTGACATGCAGTACATATTTCATAGTTGTGTGTAGTATACCACAGCATACTGAAACACTGTAGGATGGTAGGTTAAAGTGCAGTGGCAGAAGGTCAGGTGGTCAGCGAGTTGCCGAGGTTGGAGCAGTTTTTAATCTGCGTTTTCAATGAAGCCATGGCTGGACATGGACTTCGCAGCGTGCGGCCTCCTTGCAGTTCTGTGCTGCTTTTCTCGTTGAGCTTTGTCAGGTGCGCCAGTGTGGAGTTTGCACTCGGAGTTCTCGCCGGCAATCCACAACTTCACGCAACGGCAGCTGCAGCCTTTATCGACTACCAGAAGAATTTCAATGCTTCCTTGACTGCCCGGTTAGGCCCTCCAATCATCGAGATCCCTGGTGGAGTGCATCCAAATGCAAGCATGGGAGCCATCAGTTTGAGCATGAAGGACGATGGTGATTCTGACAAGACGGGCATCTAGGTTGCACTTTGGTTCCTATAGAGTTTTTAAGGGCCCCAAAACGACAACCAAGGCATGTCCGAAGCCTTGAACTTGCTTCTTGGCCTTGAGGGCAATGCGCCTGTGATCGGATTAATCGCTTCCCTCGACCCGGTTGCTACACTGACAGGTGTGCGGCAGATACCCCAAGTATCTTGCTATGCCGAGGGCCCCAAGTTGTCTAACAAGAAGGAATACCCCTTCTTTGTTCGAACCACGCCACCGGACAGCTTCCTTGCTACTGCCATTTGGCATTGGGTTGTACACTTCAATGTCCCAGCAGCAGCTTGTGTTTATTCCGACGAGGGCTACGGCCAAAGTCTCTTCGGATCTCTGAATGATCTTGCTCGTGCCAACGGTCAGCAAGACCGCATTCAGGGACAGGGCTTGGGACGGATGTCATTGTTAGACTTCAATGCAGAACAAGCTCGTGAAGTAGCACAGCTTGTGAAACGGATTGGATCCCATTTTGTCGTTCTTCTCATCCATGTCGCCTTCGCTGGCGGTTTTTTCAACGTCCTTGAGCAGGAGGGCATGGTGACGCCAGCATGGCAAATACTATCGACGGATACGTTCCAAGCAGATGCAGGCAGGAAAGTGGGTTACATGTACCTGAGACCCTCTGGTGAAGGCGCAAAGGCTCCGGAGCTGCGGCAGTTGTGGTCCTGGCTTTCACCACATGACATGGAAGCCACGAATCAGATGCAACTACCTGCTGGCCTGGTCGGGGATGAGATGTTCGATGAAGGCGACATGGTGAGAACTCGTGGCAGTCTTTCGTTTGTTCTCAGGAACTCCTGGGTCAATCTCTACTTCTGTGTGCGGCTTTGTATATTCCTGGTTCCATCCCCCCAAAAACGTGCAGTGTCAGTCAATAAGTGTTTGTGTGTGTGTGTATATGTCTTCTTTGCCTGCACTTGCAAGGTGCGGTGTTTGACCCAATCGCATTCTGTAACTTTGACTCGGTGTACGCATACTTCATTGCCATTAACAACCTCCTGCATTCGGGCGTGGATGCAAGTGAAGTCCGCGGCCGCGCACTCTTAGATGAGATGAGCAGGCTCGGATTCAACGGCGTGTCTAGGTCGCCCAGTAGTATTTTCATTGCTCCAAAACCGAAGTACCTTGATTTTTTTAGAGGGGTGCTGGGCAGCCTAGGTGTCGGGTGATATGAGCTTCGATAGGAACGGTGACCGGCTGGGGGCTTTTGAGTTCCTGAACGTGCAGTCCGATGGCAACATCGCTTCTGTTGCGTCCTTCAGTGCTAAGACATTGAACTTCACAGTTACGGCGCCTTTGACATGGATGGATGGGTCAGTGGGGTACTTCCCGCCGCCAGACATGTATTCTTGTGATCCCGGCTTCTACCAGGAGGAGCAAACAAGGCAGTGCAAGATATGTCCGCAGGGGAACTTCTGTGAAGGAGGGCTGACGGCTCCTCTGATGCCCTGTCCCCGAGGTCGGGTTGGCTTTGATAAAGGGGCCTAAATAGGGGAACATCAGCATTGCTCTTTGTTAAGGGATTTCAAACGAAAAGCCAACCATGCGACGGTCAGATAAATCATGGGGGCACCCTCTTGTTGTACACCGAAAAGAGCACCAAGAGAGAGGCACTTTTGCTCCCGACGTGGGCATGACCAATTGCACCGCTTGCCCGAACGGCAGTTTCGCCCTGGATGCGGGCTCGGCGGCATGCGTTGCGTGTCAGCCTGGCACAGAGGGGCCTTCTGAAGGCATGGAGCTATGCAGGATCGCTGGTTCAGGGTTTGGAGTTTAGGGTTTAGGGCTTAGGATCGCCTGCAATCCTAGGAACTGAGTCCTAAACCTTGTTCGGCCCTGATATAGGGCTCGAATAATTTTGCTAGCAGGGTCTTGTTTATCCATATCATGCAACCAAACGGAATAGGATTTTGTTTTACAAAACCGCTGCAAGACACCAGAAAAGTGTTAAACAACCTCTATAAAGTCGTTGAATCCCGTTTGCGATCCCTATAAAACCTCTGGCAGGAGCTGTGAGGTGGGCTTCTACATGCCATCGTCGCGAAGCAGTCAATGCCTGCCTTGCGGGCAGAATCAGATCACCCGAGGGCTACTCGGATTCAGGGTCTTGGGTTCAGGTTAAGGGTTAGGGTTGTGGTTTTCAGGGCCAGGAGTTTCGGGTTTAGCGGAGGCTAGAAGGTCAAGAGGTCATCTCGGAGCCTGGGGCACAGCCAGATCTGGTCCCATTCCAAACCTCTTTTGAAGGTGGTAACCCGGTAACCCTTATAACCCCTTAAAAGGGCTACTATATCCCTTATAGCAACGCGTTTAAGGGTTCCGTAAGGGAACACCCTAAGCCCTCATCTCACAACTCCCAGGCTCGGCTCCACCAGCGAGTCTGATTGCGTTTGTGCGGAGGGGTCCTTCATGTGTCCATCTCAAGGTTGCCCCTGGGCCTTTCATCAAGGGTTTGTTCTTAGGGCTAAGGGTTTAGGGTTTGGGCTTAGGGTTTAGGGTTGAGGCCCCTGGGCCGTTCTTGAAGGCTTTGGGGCATTCTCAGGTCCAGGTTCCTTCAAGGGTTCTTTTAAAGGCTTCCGTTTTCAAGGGATACAGATTTACGGCTGAGGGTTTCAAAACACGGTCGAGTGTTGAAAGGGGGTTTAAGGTTTAGATACTTTTGATGAGTTTTGATCGAATC